TTCAATATATATATATATATATACATATATATTTTTTTTTTTTAAGTGCAATATATGTAATATGTATTCATTAATTCATTTTAAAATCGAATTGGATTTGTTTGCTATTTTTGATTTAAAATAGAAAATTGAAAAGGAACGACCAAGTAGAAGAAACAAAGTCGCAGGAAACTATAAACTAAATGGATGTGTCTCTCGAGTAAATTAAAATGGATTTTATATATATATATATATATATATATATATGGATTCTATAATGTCTTCGATCTTATTTCCTCTTTTTATTTTTTCATCCTACCTTTCATTCTCTTTGCTTGCGACATTTATGTCTGCCAACTATAATAATATTTATCACTGAATTCAATGTATAAAAATTAAAAATCACAATATTTACAATATTTAAAAATCGATAAACAATTCTATTCATAGTTAAATAAAAAAAGATTAGAAAATAAAAAAGAATTTAATTAAAAAATTCGTGTTGTATATAAAACACGATTATTTAACAAATAACGTAAAATTAATTAATTTATATTATTTTTACATAATAATTTATCAAAATGACACTTAAATTGTTATGTATCATTCTTTTAATATTAAAAGTAATTAAAATGAAATATGTGACAAGCTTGTACATTGTCAACAATTTGAATTCCAAATTAGCCCAACAAAAATTTTAATTTTTTTTTTTAAAGACAATAAGACATATAAATTCTACATACAGAAATGTACCATATATAACATCGAAAGTATACGTGAGAAGGAACGACGAGAGAAGAAGTACTAGGTCGGTAGCCACAATTCTGGAAAGCCCAACTCTGCCGCCCGAGGAAGGTCGGGACACGGAGTCGACCATGATGTATGCTCCTCTTCCGTCTAATTAAACTTAGGAAGGGTCGCAGAGTTGGTTGGTGCGCCGGTTGTACGAACGGACGTATGTACGGTCGGACTGACAGCGAGGGGAGGTCGGCGGATGGCTTTCAAAATGACAACCGGAGAAAGCAAGAGCAAGAGCTGCGAAGGCGAGCGAGCGAGCGAGCGAGAGAGAGAGAGAGAGAGAGAGAACATCCGAATGGACTCTACAAAGCGAGAGAAAGACAGGAGAAAGATTCGTGTCTCCTTGCGAACGCATGAAACGGTACTTATAACGAGAGTGGGATCACCATCGACTTCCTCTCAGGAGACTCGATGCACTTAACTTCTATTACATTATTCATACACGGCGATAAACAATTCGCTGAAAAAAGAAGACGGCAACCACGCCGGACGTTCGTGCCGTACGAAACTTTTATCGAGCATTGGCAAGCGTCGCGATTTTCGAAAATATCGCCGAGTCAGCGTAACGCAGCAAAACATGCGAGCTCGTGTGGGGATCTGCGCCAACGAATACATAAACTTGCTTTTAGGAAATTCCATTAATCTCCAGTTGCACTCCGGCGTCGTATACACGAAGTCCGTTTTGCGCGATACATCGATTGTTTGAGCGATACTATTCTCTTCTTTCTTATATGCTGTAAAATAATAACAAACTATGATAGTCTCTCTCTCTCTTTTATCAAAAATGTATCGTGACAATGTTGGTATAAAGCCTATTGTGTAAACGTATAGTTGCAAATAGTTGTAGTTGTAAGTATTGACCAATCATAGTCGAATATTCTTCCCGTATTCGCGATTGGTGAATTTTTACAACTAAAATCACATACAATCATGCTTACGTAATTGTAGAAGAATCCTCAGAGATCCAATTTTTCATACCGCTTACGTTTAAAGTCGATCTGTATAAATTATGAATGTGAATATTCTTATTTAATTTTCTTAGTAAGCTAATTAAGTTTCTACTTCCTCGTGCGAGTTGTTTAGTTGACTAATAATTGCTAATGCGCTCATGCGTGCATAAACATGTAGATATATTAAATCGATAATAAAAAAAACTTGTTTTAATGTTCTAAAACAAGCAATACTTTTAAATTAATTTCTTCGATATTGCAGCAGATAATTCAAATCAGAAACATTATGCTTGATCAATCGTATAATTTTTTTCATTAAAAAACCGCATCTTGTACAAAATATTAATCACTGCATTTAAACACAGTCACATATCCTTATTCGTTTCTCTCAAATCTCCAATTCATATCAAAGTATATATAGATGAGAGATCTCCATCCACATCGCTATTCTATCCTTCTTTATTTGCAACAGTCGTATCTTTTTGTATACTTAATCGTAGAATCGAAATATTATACAGCCAATCATTATTATATGTAATTTCCTACGTCTTCTTTTAATATATCCAATCTCCTTCACAGTTTTTTATTTTGATATTTATCTTTCTTCATCGTTTCCTTGCCACACCTTACCATTATATACACACTTATCACGTTTTAATACTCGGCAATACTCGCCGAGCTAGTCGGTATTCGCTTTTCCATTGAACTTATTTCCCTCCGTCTCGCGTCGGTCCTTCTTCATCTATCTAAACTATGTGTATACATAAACTATGTCTATTCAACCGCGGTGCGCTCGGCTGCTTCCCATCTACCACGTCAATGCAGACTAGCTGCTACGAAACGGGATAGACCATTGGCGCGCCACAACAAATTCCTTGGCGCGAGATGTCGCGATTTCGAATGTTTAACCAGCTAGGTTAAATGATGGCAGCCGAAGGCTAAACACGACCTAGAATTCCCGACGATGCTTCTATACGATGAAAACGGAATGAGCGACGATCGGCATATTCGCGTTGGACACAATGGATTTATGGCGGATACCTCCGACTTGCTTCGACTCGCAAACATCGTTGAGAAACTTCGCGTAGCGTGTCATAATTTTCCGGTTATCGAATTGTTAGTTTATGGTCGATATCGTGATGATACATATACTTAAATTCATGCCAAAATTACGATGGGCCATCAACCTCTCGAGATTGTTGTGATAAGCGCCGCATCGCCGCGCTGATGCGGAAAAAAGCACAGGAAATTAGAACATTAAACAGGGAAATCGCGAGATCGTAATTCGTTTGATGAAAAAAGATGAAATGTCGGAAGGGGCGCTTAAAGACCTTGGCACTCGAGTAAATACACGAGTTCGTGTTCGTGCCAGTTACTCTTTTAAGATGTAATATGTATCCAGTGCATCCCTCCTTTCCTCCCTCCCTCCCTCACGAATGAATTCCGGGATGCAATATAGTCGCTTAATCGCTCGTAATAACGCCGAGACGAATGCGGCGCTTCTCGAGACTATCGCGAAAAACTTCCATAATTTCTGGCGGATGGCACCGTATAATCGCTCACGGACGAATTTCATATGTCTCAGATACGCTGTTTTTTCATCATTTATAACAAAACGCATTTCTCTATCTTTTTATAAGAATCCAATAAATGTGTGAATGGGGAAAAAACACGAATTTGTGTTTTGTTACATTTCATTCCGCGAATTAATCGCGTAATTAAAGTTTTAACGACACTGCCGTCTGAAATGCTACTTTTGCATAAATATAATAATTTAAAGCATATTTACGCGTATATAAAAGTAAATGTTAAAACAAAGATGTAATTGTATCGATAGACATGTATAAGTATTTAAAACGCGAAACACGTCAGGAATTAGCGCATACATCGGCTAAAATTTTCCGTGCTCTCAACATACATCGAAACAAACTTTGAAATGAATCGACAGACATCGAAACTCAGTCGTCGAGGGATGGCATATCGAGTCCCGATGTATCGTCGGTTTACATTAAAATCCTTTTAACTTGGGCGCTGTGTATGAGGTCGTTAACATTCGCGAGAGCTCTCGACGACGCGATTAACCAAGGAGCAAGAGGAGCGTCGACCGCGGGTTCGTCTTTCTACGAGCGAGTGCGGTATCGTCATCCTACAAACAGCGTATATGCATTAAACCATGAACCCACTATCCCCGACGTCATATCCAATACATGTTGTTAGGGGGTTGCTGAAGCCACGATACAGTACAGGGAAACGGGGAGTGAGGACGGGGGAGGACGGTAGGTGGCTGCAGGGTGATTTCGAGGGTAGCTGCCAACCTCCCCCAGTGCGGTAATGGCATTAACCGAGCTGCAATATGATTACCGCTCTCGCAAGGTAACCTGATCACACCCGAAATCTATGGGGTGTCCGGAATACACGCGCGAGCGAGCGAAGGAGGGAGGGAGGGAGGGAGAGAGAGAGAGAGAGAAACTTGTGCAGGAACAATGTATTGCTCTTGGAATAGCCGTGCAACGTTACGCAATTGCGGCAGTTGCAGCCGATGCCGAGGTTCGGTTGGTGTTCTCCCCCTTAATCGCGTTGCGCTTTTTGCGGCTCAGATTACCCGTGAATCATTAGATACTCGGAGCCCCAGTAGAATCGAAAGCCACCACTACCATCGTGCTACGGATCGTTCCTTATCTCAGCATTACGAGATTAGTCTCCAGTCATTTCTTTTTCTACTATTTTTTTTATTTGTTCCTTTTCGTCCAATATAGTATATATATTCTTTAATTGCTCACAGATTTTGTGACTATGACATAAAATAGCGAGAAATAAAATTTTCTCCAAATTTTTATGCTCAAGAAATTCGATTAGAATCAATGTACGATTCGTAAGATGTAAACATATCGAAAGAATAAGCAACGCGTATGTTTCAACAGTGAGAGTAAAGTAAAAGTTCTACACTAGTCATTGATGAAAAGCTATACAAGATCCCCTAAGTCGCTATTGATAATAAAAGCAATTTTTAGATGCAATAAACGCATAGAAAGTATTTGCCTTGAAACGAAGTGCAATTTCAAAATGTTTCGAGAATTTTAGTAGCTATACAAACAAATATGTTACCGATATGTGATAATTTTTCCTCTTGTACTTAAATAAAAATTAAAAAAGTTGTATGTGTTCGCGAATAAAAGCAATGAATAGTACTCTGTTTCTGTGATGGCAACAATACATTGCTTAATATCTTTCGAAAACATTGTGATCAACCATATGAAAAAAGAAGATACTTACCGTAAGATGTTGAAAGAGCCACGCCCTGAGGATGTTCGTCGCAACTTTAGGAAAGATACCTCGTTTCTTTTGGTTTTTCTTCCCTGAGGAGTCATCATCTTCCTCACCAGTGCCCTCACCACTACCGATACTCGCGTTACTCGCGTCACCTGCAACAGTAAGAAGAGAGCAAAGGTCATCACGTGCCGTCTCCGTAATTAATACGAATTTATAGCAATTTACGATACTTCTATCTATTCGTTGATGAGAGCCAAATGTATTCTCTGATAGATTTCTGAGATCATAATAAAGCTTTCATATCGATACTAAAATTACATACACCAGATTAATTTTCTTGATTGTTTAAAATATAGTAAACGAAAAGAAATCAATTTGAGTTGACGATTAAATTGTGAGATACCTCATCTCACACGTCGAAGCAAAATTCCCGACGTGTTTAAACTGCGCTCCGATTTTCGGTTCATACCCTGGTGGGCGATAACTACCTCGACCCTAGGGCTGGTTCCCATGCATACAAACACCATTAAGCCACCCGCAATCACCCGGCCCCCTTCGACCCGGAGAAGCTCGTACACACGCTTCGTACTCAGCTCAACCACGTACCCCTGCTCCTTCTCCGCCCCATTTCGCCTCTTCTCCACCCGTGTGCATTAATTCTCCGTCATTTATCAATCTTAGCTTTTTAATTGCACAGTCACTGGGGACTCAAAAAGCGGGACAGTAATGAGAGATATTAAGACGCTTGGTTATGCTTTTCAGAAGCTCTGATATCATATTTTCATATTATCAAATGTAATTCGAGTTGTTCGTTATTAGGTAATCACGTATATAAGGAGACCTGCATATTTTTATTTATATAATACTACGATTATTGTGTAAAACGTATTATATTGTAGTTTTTAATATATCTCGATACTTAATATATTTCGATATAATAGACTCCAAAAAATTGAAGATATAAATCATAGATTTTCGTGCCAATTTTTATCTTGCAAAATGCATTAATATTAATGATTAAAGAAGTTGTGATAATACGACTTTCGAGCGACCGTTACTATTCTATTATGACATAAGTTTGAAGGTGATTATGGAATAAAATGCAATTTTGTTGGAATTCTCGTGATATTCCGGCGAATCAATCTCCCAGACGAGCCCGAGCGCCGGAAGTTCGAGGTTCCCTTTATTCTTTCTCTTCTTTCGCAATCAGCCAGAAAGGAGAGCAGAGAAGGCTACTTACGCCAGCGGATTATAAATGACCGAACCTTATCGTAATGCCCAAGGCCCCGATTCCCAAGGTTCTATCGTAACAGAGAGATCAGGGTGAGCCTGGCGCTCCCAGGGGGTTCACGATGACAGGTCGCCCGGGGGCGCTGCCAACTCACCCCTCTCGTTCGCCGAAAAACGGTCTCGTGCCCAAGATTAACTTTGAATTCGTCGAGCAGACCGTCATCGAACAAGGGTAGAATGACGGCAGGCAGGCAAAACGAAAAATTTGTCCGTCGTAAGAACGGTCGGACCGGAACGACGGGAGATCGATGGGAATTGATGCCACATACGACGTATTCTCGCGTGTGCCGCTTCCTTGAAATGCTCCGAAAAAAGTCTTCGCTCTGCGTTTTAGCGCAATGAATATTTATCTTATCGCGATTTATTCCGATGAGCTGACAAATTCTATACTAAACGCAACTGTCCAGAGAAATTGCCAATTATAACAAAATTATAACAATTATAATAAAACTTTAATATTGTACCTATAAAAAATTTACAATTATAATTTATCATTACAAAAAAAAAACGCACCTTACAGGATCTTATAACAATTGAAAATAATTCTAAATTCAACAACGTTAAGTTGCTATGAAGTACAACTACATATGTCTACTACTTATGTCATAAATCCATTTAATTAGCTAACAAAAATCGACGATTCCGATAGCTATTTTTTTTCTTAATTGACCAAGTTTGTTTTCCATCCGGAACATAAGATTCATTGCCAGTGGTCATTTCGTGTACAACAAAAACGATGTTAGACGTTCATCCCCTCTCCGACTCGGAAGCCTGTTAATGGCGTGTCCGCAAAGTCGAATAGGGCGGCCTGCGAGCTCATAGAACCGGCGGGTGGCTATAGCGAAATAACGGAATGGCTAACGGGAACGTCCCTCTGATTGCAGTTAATTTACTCGCTGAATCGAGTTAATGTAGCGTACCGGTCGTACCGCCGCGCCGCGCCATGCCGTGCCGTGCGGCACCGTACGACGACGATCTATCGGTATCCTGGCAAAAGAAAATGGTCTCCTTCGTCAGGGTATCGTTCACAATTTAAACTGAATCCGTTTTAATCGCACAATAATTTCTAGCACGATTGATTTTATAACGACAAAAATACATAACCTTAATACGAGTTTTATCTTGAAAAAATCAAATAATGAAAAAAAGTCGAAAATTACTTGAAAAACTCTATAATTGAACTGAATATATATATATGAAATGTGTGAAAATATTGAAATTTATCACTAGTACATGAGAGATGTTTGCAAAACCGCATTGAAAAATATTACGTTACGATTGCGATAATTCATTCATCAAAATGTATAACGCGTATTTTCCATGACAGGTCGTTAAAATCTTATTTGACTTTAGATACTCTCTGATATATTGATGTACATGTGTAATCCAGTTGCACTGGTATTTCACGCGCGATCATCCGCCCACAAGCTGTCATCGATAATGTAATGTCGTTTCTCGTCGTTGCAATCGAGCACACGTCATGAGATCAAGATCGCGATCGACAACCCACGGTTTCGTCTTTGCAAGCTTACTCGGAGTATTTATGAACTTTGTGTAAATAGAATCTAGCAATATTCTTTTTTTATTTTTCAGGAAGATTTTAAGCCTTTGTTCCATTATGATCAAAATACATTTCTTCCATCTAACAACTCCGTAAACTTATAATAGAAATTATGCATTATTACTTTGCTCCTTGCAATGAGAAATCGTGACTTTCAATTATCACTGTAGTTATTCATTAAGAAATATAATTATTCATAGTACACGAATGCATTATGTATCTATTGTAAAAATGTATAGCGGTCACCTACACATCACGTGCGACGATATTGATAAATAAATATTTGTTTAAACAAAGTGTACACAAAACGGCACAGAAATCTGTTGGTAAGTGCATACGCGTGAATGCGTTCATTCACATGTGTACTCGTATGACACATTTACGAGGATGCTCTCGGCGGCGAACGTCAACGACGACGGGGGTAGGAGCCATATCGTCTACATGTTGATTTACGCGGCGTACCACGCATTTTTACTACCACGTTATAGAGATTTAAGTGCGGCCAATTATATGTTTATGCCATCCCAATGCTTGCGCTTATCCTCTCTTTCGCTCGCTCGCTAACTCTTCGTCCAATAGCGTTTCCGACCAATATGCGAATGCTCGGAGCGGCGTACCCGGTTTCTTTCTCTTAACCTGTCGCAGCTATACTTAGCGAATGGAGAATGGATGAAATCTCACACCCCGGCGATACTCTATTTCGAGAGAGAGTCAATCTTTATACGCTATTTTCAAAATTAGAAATACCATTTTATGTTGGAAATATATTGCGATGACAACGGCAATCAGTCCAATCTCATTTTAACAGAAATATTAATTTGAAACAAGAGACGAAATACACATTCAAGTTTATCAAGTTTATAGCCATTGTTATTACACTTATCAGATCCATTATTTATATGTACAATCTATATTTTCTTATATCAATCCATAATACTGATTCATTTTTGTATTATATATACAAATATATAATTCATTAAATTCCGAAATGTTTAAAATCTCCTGGAAAATTGATACGATGCCGATGATCGTATTGGAATAGAACGTCAAGCGGAGAACATCTTCCTCGAAGACGAGCCTGCAGCTTCTATTTAGGATGGCTGCGCAAACTGTTGAAATAACCAGCACATATGGCCGCCGAAAATAAACTGCTCCTTATTCTCATCCCGTCGAAACGAGGATCGCTCTCCCCCCGCCCTTCTCTCTCTCTCTCTCTCGCTCTCTCTCTCCTCCCTTCCTCTTGCTTTCTTATCCTTTCGTTCTTATTTTTTTCTTTCGTACTCTTCCTCGTTCAATGCTTCTTCCAACTACACGGATTTGTTTCGAACTTCTCTTCGCGTAGCATACAACTTTAGATGCAAACTTGAAAGTGCACGACTCTTCGGTATGAGGGTGTAGGTAGGTAGAGAACGGGCACCGGATACTAAGCATTTATTTGTTGTCACGTCGACTATGTTGTGTGTAAAAAAAAAATGCAATCGGAGGGCGAAAAGAAAAGAAGACGAGAAAAAGATGGGACATCGTATACGCCTCTTCGAGTATCGCGTTTCGCGGTCACGAAGATGATGCGACGCAATCGCAGTTTTACGACAGCCAAGTGAAATTTTGTAAGCTATGACATATACCTGACGAAAAAAAATTACCGATCGCTCGCTCTCTCTCTCTCTCTCTTTCTCTCTCTCCGAGAAAGGAACAACATCAGCTCACTTACAATTAGTAATAAACAGAGCGCTACACCCTATCATCCTTTCGGCAAAATGTTACAGATATCGGCTCATTTTACAACTCTAAAAATCGTGAGAAAGGTCAATGCACCAAAACACGCTGGCTCTTTTGGCTCAAGTTGATCCGAGATTCCTGCAGCAGACTCATCCGCGCCACACAACCGCGAGGAGTACGAGTCTCTCTCTTCCACGATTCTCAGACTATTTTTGACGATGAAATGTGGCGCGCTGGTGTTCGTTGCCGCGTCATGTCGCGCACGCGAGAGGATCGTCGCGGTCGATTTCACAGAGCGCACGTATCCACGCATCTGCGTGACGCATATGGGAGCGCCACTTAATCCGAGAATCTGCTTAACCGGGAGATTAATCGGCGATTGTGGGAGAGATGAGGCGCGATGGAGAATTCTCTCAGAGAGGATGGCGGCGTTGCTCCAAGGCAAGGAGCTGATGATGGCATCTCACGAGGCTAGTCAGTGTAAAGCACACTTTGTGGAAGTTTGTCTTACAAATGAGCCGCGCGACGCACGTAATTTAATGCGTCGCTTTTACGCACACTTTGAATCCCGTGCACATTGACAAG